GGCCTGGTATGTTGTGCAGGGCCTGATGCAGACAGTCTGCTTTGGAGTACATGAGAGTTAGCCAGGAAGCTAGGCGGGCCCACAGCATTTAAAAACGCCAAACCTGGATGGATCTTCCTGTGACGTCAGGAAGGAGGTGCTCATTTTGTTTTAGACTGGATGCTGTGTTCGCTTGCCTGGGTGGACAGGCCCTTTAAACAGGACGGTTTTAATGGATAGATCCTGCAGAAGTCAAGCTGGTTCCAAAGATGAAAGACCAAGAGGTCTACTAAGCCACTGTACAGTCCTGAGCCCCCTACAGCATGCATTTCAAATATTTGCTGAAGACCTTCTAGGAATGAGCCTGAATTTGTTGCGAGCCAGGAGGAATGGGTCAGGATAGTGAGTCCCTCTGAGTTCCTGCCACCTGCACCGTCTTGTATGCCACCTAAAGAGCTGAGGAGGTCACGCTCTTGTTACCCTGTTACCCTGTGTGATGACCTGCCCCTCAATCCAGCTGCAGCTCGGGCTGTGTCTCTGAGGATGCTGTCCAGAGCAGCAATGTCTGGTTGCGCAGAGCGAGAGGAAAGGAATCCGAACTGCATGGATGCAAAGCCTTCCCCTCGCCTGGTCTGCTCGGAGTGTGCATGGGTTGCGGCTGGAATTAAACTTTCTAAATTGGGAGGGAGCAATGATGGGGGGGAGCAGAAGGGGGAGAGCTGCAGTACCCTGGGAACCGAAAACTACGAAAGTATATAATCAACTCCGAAAGAAGCAAGTGCCTGCAGGCAGTGCAGAGGCTGTTGAAACCCTCTAACCCTGTTTGACTGTGGGCTGAGGACCCTATGAGTGAATGGGTTTCCGGCAAAGATCCTTGACACACCAGCTTCAGCTGTCCCCTGCTCTGCTGGAGCAGCAGTTTGGCCACTGCGTGGCCATCATTCTTTCATTCTTGCTGGTACGCTTCTGGTTGGTGCTCTGACCAGAGGTGTGGTCAGGTGTTTAGAGACAAGGGAAGGTCTGCGCTGTGTTGTTCCGACTTTGAACAGTCAAACACAAGCTGGTGATCAGGGTTTTCTTGGCCTTTTGTCTCAGTCATTCTGACTGGGGGTGTAGCGAGGGGAAGGCAGAAGGCTCTTGATTAAATGAAACAGAGCTAACCCAGCTCTTTCAAAGTTTATTTCAAAGACGAGCTGAATAAACAGCCTGTTGCGTTGGTGCATCGGTAAATATGAACCAGATGTCCTTTTGCAGCTGTTCCGAGCTCAGTTGGACTGTAGTGTAGTGTCTCTACAGCGTATCATCCTCCACTGACAGGTTAAAATAACAGAAGCCCTGTGGACTTGAACAGAGAAGACTGCTAGGAGACCAGATACAAGTATTCAGGATCCTCAAAGACTCCAACAGAGTCATGCCAGTGCAGTCCTTCAGAAAGACCGTGAAACACAGACCAGGGGACACAGATGGAAACTCATGAAAAGTGTTTTTAAAACTGAGAAACAGAAACACTTCACTGTGGGAATCTGGATCCAGTTAACCAGCTGATACCCTGGTGTCTTTTAAGGAGTGGCTGGATGAGGTCTTTGGTTGAGTCGGTTGCTCAAAACTGCTCATGTTAGGTTGACTTACTGGGCTCCTCTTCTTTGTAACCCTTCTGAAATCGAGTCTTTTTGAACTGCTGATGCATGAATATGTGCTTGCAAGCTGTGCTTAATGCAGAATGCACTCCCCCCTGTCCTGTGCATTGAAGTTCCCATCGGTGTCTGACTGCTGCCTGTTTTGGGGATGTGTTGAAACAGCTGTTTTGAGATGAAGAAGGAATTCCATAGTTTATTATCCCAGACTGGATTTGGATGTTTTAAGGACACGCGTTTTAAAATTTGCTTTCAGCTCTGACCGTGTTGTTTTGGATTTGGAATTCGTAATCAAGCCTGCACCAGTTTCTGAGTTGGAGAACTGCCCTAGTTCAGCTGTGGGAGCTGGAGTGTAATGAGCTGTACCTCTGGGGAAGGAGAAAAACCGACACATTGTCATTCTCTCTTGAGTCTGGTCATCATCGCCTGATCACCCATGAAGAGCAGAGCTGTTTGGGTAGGAATAAGGGAGCTTGCAGTTAATGAGCTGAAGGGAGACTGTATGCACCCTGCCTGCTGAGGTTGTTGGAATCTGTGCGCTTGAAGTTTGGAACCAAGGCCTGAGGTCAGAAACTCTGGAGCCTAAACAATCGAAGCAGCTCAATTAAATGCACCAATTAACACCGGTGTTGACAAAAACCAACAGATGCAGGGGTCTCCCAAGACCAGGCCTGTGGAGATGATCCTTGGCGAGCCAGTAACAGCGAACAAAGCAAATCGCACGAGCAGAGCTCCCACTTTTTTCGCTGATATGTCGGTAAAGGTTTGTAGAAACCTTTAAGTGTCTTATTACATATCTGTACAAACCTGTCGGAATACCCCACATGCAGTTATCTCGTTTGGTCGTTTTCCCGAATTGTGCTTGCCACAATGAAACGGTCAGCAGTGTGTGAAGTGTGAAGAGGCGTTTCAGGGGAGGGGGACACACACGTGCTGCCCGGAGGGCCCCAGTGCTGCAGAGCTCCTCCGAGCGACCAGCAGACAAGAAGATGGGCTGAGCCTCGTCCTCCCGTTCCTCCTGTTCCCACAGGAAGCGCATGCCCAGCAGCCCTTTCAAAAACAATGGAGATGAAAAGAGGTTTTTCAGCCCGTCGTTTTCCGGAGGCTTCTATTTTTAATTCGCTTCTTGTTTTTTTAATAAAAGACCTGCGGTGACTCATCCCTGGGAAAGTGCTAAAGCCTGCAGTCTGAAGTTCTGAGGCTTGGTCGGGGCTCTGGCCGTGAATAATGTAGCAGCCCACCACAGTGGCATAGCCAGCGCTGGGCTAAGAGTTCCTGCACACACAATCTCACGATGTGCTGCAGATTGTTCACAATGCGTAGAGGTTCTTTGCAGTTCCTACAGGTGAAAATAATGAAATCGTGTCTGCAGGCAGGGGGAAGGTGATCCCAGGAGTTTTGGGATTGCCTGCTGCTTTGATTTTAAGGAAACATAAATGCGTTGGGATGTCCTTGCAGGTGTTTAAAATATCGAGTCATGAGTGATGACCATGTGCCGGTGTCACTGCCACAGAAGACTGCTTGCCAACACGCTGCTGACACCACAGAACACGCACGTGTCTATATACTGTATCATTTTCCTTTATTGATTTTCAGTGGCCAGTTTTTGTTTCCCATCTTAAACTTGAAGTTATTTAACTGCGTGTTGGGGTCTTTGCCAGGGTTTTGGTTTGGCTTCAGCACGCTGCAGTTATCCTGTGCCCTGTTGTATTAGAACGAGCTCTTCTCTCTACACTCTGAAGGCGGTGGAGCTGCCCAGCGACTATGTGCTCACGGTAGCAGACGAAGTATTTTATCTGCGTCAGGCCCTTTACAGGCTGCAGCTCTGAGGCAGAGGGCTCTCTGAATACCAGGCAGTGGAATGGTCAGTGCCCGTCAGATTGGTCAGACTGCTGGCAACACTCCTCGGTCAGCCTGACCACAGACAGCGGACAGGGGGCGCTGGTGCACTGAACCTCCCCTCCTGCATTGACCATTACAGCTCAGCCAATAGCCCCTACTTTACAGGCAAATGCGTGGCCCCGAGGAGTGCGATGCGTCGCTCAGAGCGTGAGAGGAGGCGGACTGACCCAGCTGGCCTGCTTGCATGCGTGCGCCAACAGGCACCACTCATCTCCTTCACAACGCCCATCGCGGAGGCAGAACAACTTGCTGAGACTTTTCCCGTTGGTCCTGTGGATTAATCCCGCTGCCAGCCACGGGCCTGCCAGACGAGGCGCCGGCAGTAAATAAGGCCGGGTCCGTCGGCTGGCAGCGGTGGGAGCGGCCGAGTCTCGGGCTCCGCGGAGCGGCGCCTGTCCCCACCCACTCAGCACTTCCCTGCCCACTTCAGCCCTGCTGTTCCCCCAGCCTCGGCTTCACGTCCCTCGGACAGGAGCCGCAGAAGACTGACGCACTGATGCCACAGGCTGCACATTTGCATTTTTTCTGCATTTGCACTCTCTAAATTTAGAAATCTCTTATTAATATCTGCCATTTTTCTCGCCACGCTCCTTTTTGTTCTCGGCGTTTGATATTCCGCACTGCTCTCCCCTGCGCTTCGATGAAAGCGGGCTCTTTCTGCTGACCAGCTGGGGGAGGAAGGAGCTGATGCTGGGGCTCCAGACCCCACAGGGCAGTAGCTGCGAGAGAACCTGATCGGCGCTGATGCACTGGCTTAAATACAAGTCCTGACAAACCTGCAATTACTGGCAATGGGACAGCTGGGTCTCTCCCAGCCAGTTCTTGAAAGAAGCCAGGGCTATCGACTTCAGCAATCAGGCTAGGTAGCTTGTTTCATCCCCCTACCACCCTGTGGGTAAAGAGGTGCGTCTCAGTTTGAATAGCGAGCACCAGCAGAGCCCCGTATGTCCTAAAGCGT